TTTGACCGCAGGCAGATCTAATGGGAGCTAATTGGGCGTCAGCTCTCTTAGGTCATTTTCGCTTAACCTTCCAGAAAAAAAAAACCTAATGCATATAGAAACAACAAAAAACAAAGGCCAGGTGGGTTTAGAGACCAAACACCTTCAGCACAGGTATAAAAACGAGGAAACAAAGCACATTATGTTGTTTGCAGGTGCAAGAGCCGGAAAAAAACACGTTGAAAATGTGAGGCTGGATTACTGACTGTTTCATCCGCCTCATAGCCCACCAGATGCAAAGGAAGCTGCTCCCTATCATTCATCTTATCTTCGGAAGATGTGGCTTACTCGTCCATTTAGCTCGCTGAATATTTCACACACATGGTAATAATAAGGTGATTTCAAGAGAAAGCCATTTCCGGCAGACTTTATGGGTGTGCGAGCACCTCACCCGGATCCCCCCACCTTGCTTTCTGCCCACATCCCAAGATAGAGTGAAGACCACCCCTCCCTGTCAGGCTTATCTACTGTTTTTCAGACCGCTGGACAGACCTCACCCCCATTGGCGCTTTGAAATGGGGGGCTGCATCAATACTGCTTAATGTTTTAGTGAATTACAATATCCACCCCAGGCTATGGACTGCCTCACTCTTTTTCCTCAGTCTGACTAGGAGAGAGTCAGACACGGCCTGGGTGGTGCAACTTGAGGAGTGAGATGAACGCAAGAGATGCAGTGTTAGATGGACGGAAATGCAGACCGAGAGAGACAAACTTCCACATCTAATCAATAGAACACCCGCACTTATCAAAACTTGAGTTCAGCGCCCCATGTAACTGAAGTTGCATGTACGGACTTGTGTGTTTGTGTATCAAACTGTACATGTTTCATCAAAACGGAACTGTACATTAATGCTTAGCACACTGCATGTTGCGTCAGTGTCTCGGTTTGAGCTCCTGGAACTTCGAGACACGTGTAAGAAAGTGCAAACAGATAGAAAGAACTGAGAAGTAATAAAATTCCGCCTTTCTTATTCCTCACTCCTTCTCACCCCTCCACGCCTGTCCATCGTGCGTTCGGCCACGGAAGAGTGCGTTTTTCATTTGGATAATGGAGCATTGACTCTAATTGAGAGGACAGCCTCATTTGTTTGCCAACATGTCAGTGGCCAGGCCTCTCATTGTTTCCACTACATTTACATTAATGCATTTCTCCCCACTTCTATTAAACTGCATCCCTCCCCAGCCAAAGCTGCTGCTGCTGCTGCCTAATGCTGCTTAGTCAGTGAAAAAAGGTTAATAACAATCAAGCAGAAATGGGAAAGAAAGTGTCTGAGTTTCCTACGACTCTTCATTGGCCTTCTGTAATGGACAGCGTTTGAAAAGGCGGAGGAGACGAAATTCTGCTGATATCTTCTCTTTTTGTAATTTTATTTATGGGCCTTTTAGCTCATATTATAGGACAATTGAGAAAGACAGGAAAGTTGAGGGAATGGGATTGGGAAATGAACATCGGATGTACTCAAACATGGGTCCTCAAGAGCCAACAGCTCTCAAGCACCACAGACTTATATTTTTTATTAATTTTAATCATTCTATTATAATAATTTTTAATAATTTCATTTTTATAAAATAATTTCAAAGAAAGAATTAGAATTGTTTTCGCAATTTCAATTCATTTTAATTCTATTAAATTAAAATGCAATTCTGCATTTTGTTTGCTTTTTCAATTCATATTCAGTATTAATTAGGAATGTTATCGTCTGTGCAAAATATTTGTGTGGTTCCAAACAGGAAGTCGTTTGTGTCCAGGGGTGCCTGGTGTTTTTTTTTTTTTTTTTTTAAGCTCATCAGATTTTGATTAATTAAGGAGCAGGCACAGTAAGTGCAAGAGAGATCGCATTAACCAAAGGTTGGTTAAAGGAGCTGTTATTGCCTCTCTTTGCCATGAGCTCTCAGGATGGGGTCAAATTCCAAGGTCATACATTTGTATAAGATTAATACATTGATATGAGTCCCTCGGGGTAAGTAGCTTTTATATAGCAAGATTCAGACACATACAATACACAAACACACATTTACCCAAAAACACACATGAGCTCTCAGGATGGGGTCAAACTCCAAGGTCATACATTTGTATAAGATTAATACATTGATATGAGTCCCTCGGGGTAAGTGGCTTTTATATAGCAAGATTCAGACACATACAATACACAAACACACATTTACCCAAAAACACACAATATACTTTGTACTGATGACCCAGTTGCACCTGTGCTGACAACAGCACTCTGCCCCAGAGAGTAGCCCTCCTCTGTCATAACACACACACACAGTACACTGCCTGAGAGATTAGCCCTTGCACGTCGACATGCTAGCACACCTGCATTGTCCAAATTAGTACTTCTCATCTCTCATCATCTCACAACACAAACGCTCCCAAAATTTATTTTATTTTTTAAAATAAATATAATAATATGATTATATTATTTTGTATACTAAACATTTTTAATGACTTTATGAAAAAGTTAAAATCCCTTCTATATGTCCCGCCCAAACTTCCTGTCTGAACAGGAAATACGCCAACTCAGGACAGAAAATTGTGCCCATCAAGCAGTTTTGTTCATTGGGCCTTTAAACTGCACTTCAAGAACAGTCACCAAGCCAGTCTCCACCGGCACAAATGATGACACCTGTCAGAGAAAGAAAGAAAAATGACGCGCCGCCACATCCTAATGTTCGCTGATAAGATTAGAAAACATTGTGTTCGTTCTTCGATGACTCAAAATGAACGAGAAAGCAACAGAGTAAAGAATCTCATTTGCATCCTCTTCAGTGGAGAGAAATGGATGAGAAGAAAGAAAAAGCACATTCATTTACATGCTGATACACAGAGCGAAAGAAAGACACCTCTTCACACAGAGACCTAAATGAGGGGGTAGATACTCATTTAATTCCAGCGCGGAGACAGAGAGCAAGAGAAAGTGCATCGGTGAGACAGAATGAGTGAAACAGAGGGAGGGTGACTATGAGGGAAAAGACGCGAGAGGCCATGAAAATGGGAAACAGCAGCTTGTATTAGAAACCTGTAATTTAAATCAAAGGTTATAATCAAAAATTTATCAGTTAATTGATCTCGCACATGCTGCTTGCCAAGAGAGCAATTTAGAACCCTGTCACTCGGGCTGCAAATCTATCGAGCGCTGCTCTATAAAGTAAGTTTGTTGCCTTGATCAAGCAGTCTTGTAATGTTCTCTGAGAGCTGATATGATAGGGCCCAGATAAAGCCATTCAGCAGCCTTTTTCTTCACAAAAGGAGAATTTTGATGAATCTTCATGTAATATTTTTTTTCCATACAATTACAGTTTATAGCAACCAAATCGTTCCAAAGACCTCCATAAAAGAAGCCCTGTGACCTATTCACTAAGATTTTAGACAGATTTATGTAAGGAACACACAGAAATGTTGTTATTCGCTGATAAACTTTCCCGCAGTGAGGATTATTGAGTGAGCTGAACTTGAGAACAGAATCAGTCCAAATCATTTAAAAGAACAAATCATTCACAGATCTGATTCTCAGGTTCAACTCACTGATTAAGTGATTCGGTCAGAGAGGCTCTGGAGTTCTGGAGGTCAGAATTATCAGCAAATAATTTAATCATAATCTATTGTACCGCTTTAGAAGACTTTAAATACAGAGCACAAGTAATTCAGGCTACTTTTATGGTGCTATTATGCTGGTGTTTGGTTATTTTTGGAGTTTGAAAGATGTACAGTAGCCACTATGACCTGTTGCTGTATAAAAATATTTGAATATTCTTCAATATTTCTTCTTTTAACACTTAACAAATTTCAATAACATATATTAGTCGTACTATTAAAGGTCCCCTGAAATGCTTAGAAACACGCAGCGTTACTCTATGTGTTGACGTCATTTTAACTGAAACAGGAAGACAGGGCGGGACATATCAAGCAGCCCCGCCCCTTTTTAAAATAGCCAATAGCGTTCATTTATATCACAGCTTGGGCTAGAGCCGTTCAGAGCCGTTGAGCTCCGTAAAGCCGCATTTGATAGGGTATGCCAGCCACAATCTCATCCATATTGCTATAAAATATAGCATTCTGTGTAGAATTCAAATAGCTCCGATACATTTTGTGGTCTGCGCCGACTCGCGCATGTGATCCGCTCCATGCTATCGTGTCTCTGGACTGGAGCAGAGTGTGTGTGCGGTGCGGTGGTTAGCGTGACAAAGCGCAAAACCAGACTTCGTTTTTTCCTCAATGGAAAGCATATTTACACTGTTTGAATCGTTCGCTGTCCCCTATATAGTGCACTACATGCCATTTACTGTACAGAAAATACTAATTCTGTGGACAAGTGACCGAATTCAGCCGCAGCTTCAGCGTCTATTTTATAGTGTAGGGGCGGGCGCTTCGGATTCTAGAGAGCATTTGATTGGACAGAAAGTTTGATGAGAAGCTGAAGTACGATGTGACGTCAAAAAAATCGTTGAGCCGTTTTGGCGGAAGTGACGAACTGCAAGCTTTGAATGCTTATATCTTCTAAATGCGAATTTTGTCACTGTTTTGGAGCACACTGCCTTATAGATAACCTTAAGACTAACATATTGATACTAACACCCAAAAAACTTTAATTTTGATTTCATGGGGACTTTATAGGTGAAAAAGTGTATGGGGCTGATTCCTCTCAGCAGCAGGAACAGGGATCCATATCAGTGCTTGGATTTAATCACTATAAGTGGTTTTAATATCTGAGGCTTATCGTGGTATATGATTCAGGTTCAGATTGTCAGGTACAGTAGTTGTTCTGCCATTATCATGGAATTAGGTTCCATTCTCTCCTATCATGTGTTATCACGACCCAGGCATTCGGGGCTCTTATGATGATCGCTCTTGTCACATCTCATTGCAGGCATTGTTCCTTGAAGAGCCAGAAAAACTGGATTAGAATGAGATATGTAAGAATAAAACTGATAAAATCTCCCTCCTCCTTTCTTTCCAGGGTAACCAGGAGGCCCCAGCTCCCCCAGAAGCCATGGCTCAGCCGTACGCTCCAGCGCAGTATCCTCCCCCTCCACCTCAAAATGGGTTGCCTGGCGAATACACCCACCCTGGGCAGGATTACACGGGGCCCAGTCCGGTCCCTGAGCACGCCGCAGCCCTCACTATCTACACACCCACACAGACACACAGCGAGCCACCTGGCACTGACAGCAGCACGCCGTCCCTCACAGGGACTAGCAGCATACCAGTGAGTGCAAATGCAGCATGCAGGCATGAAATATTTATTTTATTATTTAATTTTTTTATTTGATTGGGATTTTATTTTTTTATTTTACTTTACTTAGAATTCCATGTGAGTCACACGAGTATCAAAATCACAATGTAATCATGTCTTATCTAGTGTAAGGTGTTGATAGAAAAAAATGTTATTTCACAAAAACAATCCCACTGAGACAAAAATATATTTTTCTATTTAAAAAAAAATACAAATTACAGTTTTATAAACCATTAGCATGTGGCAAAAAGTTCAATTAGTACCCCATGAACAGGACATTTTTATTCATTTTTGAATTACTTTTTACATCTTACCCCAGTCAACAATTTAATCTCACAATGATGTCACCATGAGCTCACATGATTCTCATGGTGTGGTCACAATGTGTGTGTCACAGTGAGCTAAG